CGGCGCCGGCGCCGGCGCGGCCAGCAGCCATCCGGCGCGACCGGGTCTTATCTCCCGCCCTCGCCCTGGGCCGGAGGCGAGGCCCCGATGCCCGGGGCCGAGCCAGGAGCCTGCCCGGCTCTCGGCTCCGAAGGGCCCGACCGGCCGGACTATCTCTTTCCCGGCCCCGGTCGCGCACCCGGCCCCGGTCTAGCCGAGCCGGCCGGGCGCCGAACAACGGGCGGCCCATTCACGCGGGAGTGGCCGGTCCTGGGGGGAGGGGGGGCGACTCATCCCCCCGCCGTTGGCCCGGCGGTTGTTCGCCGGGGCGTGCGAGACATGCCCGGACCGGCCGCCGGGGCGCGCGGGGAGCGCAGGGGGTGCGCGTCGCGGCCGCATTCCGGCCGTCTCCCCGAACGAGCTCGCTCCCCCCCCCCCCCCTCGGGCCGGATCGCCGGGGCGGGCGGGCGCGGATCGCCCCCGGCCCCGGGCCCGGCTCCGCGCTGGTGTGCTGCCCCTCCGTCTCCCCCGCCCCCCCCCCCCTGGGGGCACTGACACGGCCGCGCCCCTCCCTGTCAGTCGGCAGTCCGAAGGGTCGCGACGCAGGGCTTGCTTTTTCGCGCCCCCCGCCGGGGGCCGGTCGCCCCCGGGGGCGGACCGCGAGCCATCCTCCCCTCTCCCGCCCCCCCCCCCCCCCCCCCCCCCCCCCCCCCCCCCCCCCCCCCCCCCGAGTCACACGACGCCACAGATCCTCCCCCCTCCCCCCCCCCCCCCCCCCCCCCCCCCCCCCCCCCCCCCCCCCCCCCCCCCCCCCCCCCCCCCCCCAGCCGCTCCGCTCCGCGCCCGCCACCAGCCCCTTTTGTCCTTTTCCTCGCGCGAGCGCGCGCCCCTCCCCTCGCCCCCTCTCCTTCGCCCTCCCCTCCCCCTGCCACACCGCCAGTCGCCGAGACCCGCCGCCGCCGCCGCCGCCGCCGCCACCCGTCGTCGGCCTGATCGCTCGCCCCCCTCGATGGATCCCGCGGGCGCCGCCTCGTACGCACCGCCACCGCCGCCGGCGCCCTCCATTGCTGCCGGCGCCGCCACCGCCATGCCCTCCGCGCTCGCCCTCGTGCTCCGCCGCCGCGCCCCTGTACTGACACACCCCGGCCAACCGGCAGACCCTCCCCCGATAGACCCCTCGCGCACGCCCTCGCCGCGACATGCACCTGTCGCCGCCGCCCGCCGATGACACCCCACCGGCGCCTGACCGCCCGGAGCCGACACCCTCGGCGCCGGCCGGCACCACATCGCCTCCCGTGAGGAAGGCCACCTTCGACCTTTTCCAAGATGAAGCCGACGACCTGCCGGAGCACCCGGGCTCGGCGGCGGCCGTGGAGGTCCGCCCCGCGTCGGCCCTGCCGGCCGCCCTGCACCACCCCCCGGTCAACCCCTCGCCGCGGGTGTCCAGCTTCCTGACCGTCTCCGATGAGGATGACTATGAGGACCACTACTACGATGGGCACGGCCACTACGGCGGCCCGGAGGATGACGACGAGGAGGACCTCCCGCCGGAGGAGGCCGACCTGCCGGATGCCGGGCCGCCGCACCCGGTCAGCCGCTATGGCGGCGGGCCGCTGGCCCCGGGCTCCCGGCGGGGCTCCCTGTCCCGGGCGGCCGGCGGCATCGCCTCGGCCCACGGGTCCGGCTCCTCGTCGCCCTTTGCCCACGGGGGCCACTACCTGCCCCGGCACGGGGATCCCACCGGCGCCGGGCTGGCCGACTACTCCGACGACCCGAGCCTGCCGGATTACGACCAGCTGTCCTTCGCGGCGGCGGCGGCGGCCACGGCCTCGGCCGCCGGGACCCCGGGCGCCCTGTCGTACTTGCCCTTCCGCCGGGAGTCCTCGGCCTCGTTCGTGTCGACCGGCGGGTCGGCCGCCCCCCCGGGCGCGTACCCCCACTGCCCGTCCTCCTCCTCGACATCCTCCCTGGCCAGTGGCCCGGGGCCGGGCGGGCCGCCGGGCGCCGGGACCCCGGTCCCCGGCATCGGGCCATCCACTGGCCCCGGGGCCCCGAGCCCCGCGGCGTCGGTCTCCTCGCACTACTCCCTGTCGGAGTATGCCCCGCCGGCGGCGCTCGGCGGCCTGGGGTACTTGCCCCCGGCCGGGGAGTCCCCCTCCGGCGAGGGCTTCCACCCGCACCACCATCCGCACGCGCACCATCACCTGGGCCCCGCCGGGGCCGGGGCCGGGACCTTCGGCCCGGTTCACCACCGGCCCGGGGGCTTCCGGTCGATCTCCAATTCGCCCTGCTCGTCGACCGCCCCGTCGCCGGTGGGCCGCGGTGGCGGGACCCCCGGCCCCGGGCGTGTCCCGGCCGGCATTGTCCCCTTCTCGGCGACGGTCAGTGCGTCCAGCTCGCCGGTCCCGGCGCACGGGCCGCTGTCCTCCTTCTCGGGGGGCGACCTCCCGGGGATGGCCGGCATGGGGCCCGGCCCCGGGGTCGCCGGCGTCACGCCCACCGCCACACCAGCGGCCGTGGCCAGCTCTTCACACTCGTCGCTGGTGGCCGGGCCCCGGGCCGGGGGGGCCGAGCGTGCCCCCGGCGCCGGCGGCACCGGCGGCCCCGGCGGGCCCCAGCACAAGACCAGCTCCTCGGCCGTCGGGGCCCGATACGCCGAGTCGCCGGTCGGCGGCCTGATGACGATGATGGGGGCCACGGTTGGCCGGTCGTCCTCCTCGGCCGGCGGGGTGGGCAGTCGGTCGGCCGCCCAGGCCGCGGCCCATGCGGCTGCTGTCCACGCCGGGGCGTCGGGGCCCCACGCCACCGCGGCCATGGCCAATGCCATGGCCGCGGGCGCCGCCCTGGCGGCCACCATCCACGACGATGGCGGCGGCGGCGGCGGCGGCGGCCGCTCGACCTCCGGGGGCGGTGCGCTGCCGCCCGGGCGCGCGGCCGATGACCTCCCCCACCCGCACCCGCACCCGCACTCGCGCCCCTACCCGTATGCGTACTCCCGGCCGGAGCGCCCGCTCTCGGCCCATGTCCAGGGCAGTGCCCTGAGCCTGGCGCACATGCACCTGTCCGGGGCCCTGGGGTCGGCCGGTGCCGGCGGCTCGTCCCGGAGCTCCTCCCTCTCGTCGGACTTCCCCATCGACGGGCCGGGGCTCTACAGTGTCGGGGACGATGGCCAGCTGATCCCCATCCTGCCGGCTGCCCTGGACGCGGGGCTCCCCTCCGGGGCCGGGGCCGCCATCACCCAGGCCAGTTCCAATTCGCTGATCGAGGCCGGCCTGGGGCCCGGCGGCCCGGAGGACGACCCGTCGGCCAGGCATGCGGGCTCGGGCCCCGGCCACGGGGCCCTGGCCGAGGCCGGCACCTCCCCGGGTGCCGGTCCCGGCGGCCAGAGCGGCGCCGGCCGGGCCCCGGGCCCCTTGATCGGGGCCACCCTCCTGCCGGCCGGGGCCAGCCCCCCCTCCTCGCCGGTGCTGTCCAGCTACATCGCCGTGGCCTCGACCAAGGTGTCCATCCCCATCCAGTCGTGCTCGTCCATCGCCGGCCCGGAGAGCCACTCGTCCATGTGGTCCTCGGCCTCCTCGTCGTCGCTGCCCTCGGCGGCGGCGGCGGCGGCGGCGGCGGCGGGTGCCGGCGGTGTCTACGTCCCCGGCGGCCCGTATTTCGCCGACGCCTTCGGGTACCCGGCCCGCGGGCCCGGGTCCCTGGCCAAGCCCAAGATGATTGACTCTTTCATTTTGGGCGAGGTCATTGGCGAGGGGGCCTCCGGCAAGGTGCGCGAGGGCATCTGCTCGTACACCCTGCGCCGGGTGGCGGTCAAGATCATCAAGCAGGCCCGGCTCCGGCGCATGCCGCAGGGCGAGGCGCAGCTCCACCGCGAGCTGGCCCTCCTCCGACGGGTGACCCACCCGAACATCATCTCCCTCTACTCGGTGTCCTACAACCCCCACAAGGAGAAGACCTACTTCATTTTCGAGTATTGCCACACCAACCTGCAGAGCCTGCTGCAGCGCGCCCCCGAGGGCCGGATCCCCGTGTCCCAGGCGTCGCGCTACTTCCACCAGCTCATGGACGGTCTGGCGTACCTCCACGGGCGTGGGATCATCCACCGGTGCGTTTTCCCCGCCTCCCTCCCCTGCTCTCGGGCTCCCATCCCGTGGGGCTTCCTTTTTTTTTTCCCCCCCCCTCTGACAGCCCATGCCCCTTGGGTCTGCACACTTTTCCCGCGCGTTGGGCCTGCACACTTTTCCCGCGCCTTGGCACACCCACCCTGACCCATCCCCTCCGACGCGTCCACCTTGACACGTCTGCCCCTCCCCGCTTCCCCTTCACACGCACACGCACACGCACGCACGCACACGCACACGCCCGTCCGTCCGCCCGCCCGCCCGCCCGCCCGCCCATCCACACACACACACACACACAGCGACATCAAGCCCGGTAACTTGCTCCTCTCCTTCTGGGACTGTTTGAAGATCTCAGACTTCGGCATCGCCCAGCTGGTGGATCTCTACTCGCCCGAGGACACATGCACATCGAATGTCGGCTCGCCGGCCTTCCAGTCCCCGGAGCTCGCCAGTGGCCAGGAGTTCTTCTCCGGCTCCAAGGTGCGACTTGCTGCCCCCCTTCTTGCCTCTGGCTGGCACCTGCCCCTTTCCTCCCTTCCAGCATCTCTCCCCCTGCCCCCTTCTTCCTCCCTCCACGCGCGCGCGCGCTCGCGACGACACACACTCACGGCGG